GAGCACAGAGGAGAGAGGGTGATGTTTTACTCCACACCCATTTCTCTGAGTTTGGCACCATGTGTATGCATAACTATTTCAGAAATACAGATAAAAGTGTTACTGAAAATAAAAATAAAAGAAAATAAGTTTTATGTTTTATATTTAGTCACTGTATTAAACTCCCCTATATGTTCCTATAAGATCATGTAATTCCTGAGACAGGCAGAGACAATGTGGAACTGACTTTTTCATTTCTTTCCTTCCTATCCTAGCATATAAAACAGGGCATTGCTTCCAAATATATTTGTAAGTTGAACAAACAAAGCCTAGCAGGTTTACGGAGGTAAGGATCATTTCTAATACTGTTTCTCACAGCCTTCCATACCCCGGTGCTAGGTGAGACCTGGTGTTCAATAAGTACTGGATAGGCTGGGCACAGTGGCTCATGCCTGTAATCCTAGCACTCTGGGAGGACAAGGTGGGAGCATCGATAGAGGTAAGAAGTTCAAGACTAGCCTCAGGAAGAGCAAAACCCCGTCTCTGCTAAAAATAAAAAGAAAGTAGCCAGACAACTAAAAATAGAAAAAATTAGCCGGCCGTGGTGGCCCATGCCTCTAGTCACAGCTACTCAGGAGGCTGAGGCAGGAGGATCGCTTGAGCCCAGCAGTTTGAGGTGCTGTGAGCTAGGCTGATGCCACAGCAATGTAGCCCCGGCAACAGACCAAGACTCTGTTTCAAAAAAAAAAAAAAAAAAAGTGCTTGATAAATTTAATTAAAGAGATATCTACTTTATCCTCTTTTCATTCCTATCTGGTAATGTTTTTAGATTTTAAATACTCCTTTTGCTTTTTATTCCTTAACTAATCTCTTTCCTAGAATATTGATTAGAGTTCATTACAACAATCTGAGAACTGAATAATGATTTACATTCATTTGAGTCAACCATTGCTATCACAAATTTCAAACATTCCAACTATTATTCTTGACTCTCTTTAAAAATATAATCTCAAAAGTCACCAAAAACTGGAAATCCATTGTTTCTTTCATATTCAATTTGCTTTGACAGAAATTCCTTACTTCTTTTGTCAATTTCTTCTGGAGAGAATAGATTGACTGCAGGAACAAAATAATGCTTCAGTTCCTCTGTCCGGAGGCACTGAAGGAAGTATGCCACGCAGTTATCAAAGCAGATTTCCAGATCTCGTGGGGACCACTGCCAGTCTTCTCCGTACTGGGTACAAACGTGGAAGAAGGCAGTTTTCACATGGTAAGAACAGAATTTATTCAGTTCTTTTCGGTTCTCAAACTTTTTTTTCAGCTGTTCTAGAAGGTATTTCATTAGTTTTAAGCAAGCTTTCCTGCAGCATTTCGGCTCACTGTTTTCACAGCATGTTCTAGCTTTTCCATGACATTTCAAAATCACCTTTTCAACATGAGAGAAGGATAGCCGCCACGTTTCTTCTTGAAAACCATTTGCTTCCTTCGCATGCTTCGGCACAAGGTAAACTGGCTGTCCTCTTAGCTCGTTCCTAGTTTTTACTCCAAGCCATTTACTGATGGGCATGCCTTCCTGGGTGCTAGCAGGCCAGCTACTCTTTGATTCCAAAGCCAGGATTATATCCACGGATATTTTTTCAGGTTTTCCAATAAGAAGTGTTACAGCAGGGCTCCCTCTTCTCTTCCTCTCCACAACGACATCTGTATCTTCTATGTTTTTAATTTCTTCCTTAATGATCTTCCTAACCTTCGACAGCATCTTAGAAGCTGATAATATTTCCCCTTCTAAAAACTGACTCAGAGGATTTCCTTTCAGATTTCTTTTGAACTTCACAAAGTAATGCACACCACTGTTGCGATATTCTTCCAGTTCAATTCTGGGGACTTCCAGTTTAAACATGACATCAAATTCATTGGGTTCAGAAATCTTCACACGCTCATAGTAGCTGCCGGTGCGCAGCGGGGCGATGCTGATGTCTCTGAACTCGGACTCGCGGTTCTGCAGTCTCCCAAACAGGTGGTCCACGACCCGGTTCACCACCTCGACCCTGGCCGACACCACCGAGGGGCTCAACTTCAACTTCTCCAGCACGGCCCGGAGCTTCCAGCCCCCAGGCGCCGCCTCCCTGAGGCCGAGACTCGCGGCCGGAACCGGCGGGCCGGAGCCGGGCACCTTCGCGGGCCTGGGCGGGGGTCTCTGCTCCCGGGGGCAGCGCGCATCCTCCTGGCGGCGAGATCCAGTCCTGGAAAGGGGCGGCCCTGGAACGGCGGGAGGCTCCAGCCCCTCCGCCGGAGCCCGCTGCTCCTGCGCCCCGGCAGCGCCGGCCTCGTCCCCGGCGCGCACAGGCGCCTTCTTGGCGCGGGCCCCGGGCGCGCGCACCTGCGGCCTCTCCCTGGAGTCCGGGGCGCTTTTCCTCTGCTGGGATCCCGACCCCCTGGCGGAGCCGCCCCTCCCCGCGTTGGCCTGGGCGGCCTTGGGGGCAGCTGGAGACTCACTGCGTTCCGTCCGGGCGCCCCTCGAACTCCGCACCGAAACCTTGGGGACCTCGGTTCCCGCCTTCGACGCTGTCCGCGTCGCCTTTCCGCGCCTAGGGTCCATGGCTGGCGCTCTCTGCTCCCCGAAAGAAGAACAGGCTTTGGGGAAAAGCTACGGGAGGAAGAACCAGCAGTGGCGGCGGGAAACGAAACTTAAATATCTGGCAGGAACTTAGCAGTCTGAGGTCAGGGAGGGAACACCTAAGGGGAAGCCACTGGGAGCCACGCCCTGCCGGGAAGCGGGTGGCTAGGGCCTGAGAACTTGTGATATTTGTCTTCTGTGCCTGACTTATTTCACTTAATGTAACCACCTCCAGCTCCATTCATGTTGCTACAAATGATGTGATTTCATTCTTTTTTCATGGCTGAATAGTGTTTCTCTGTGTGCGTGTGTGACCTTTTCTTTATCCATTCATCTGTCAATGAACACTTAGGTTGATTGCATATCTTTGCAGCAGTAAACATGGGAGTGCATGTATCCCTTTGATATATTGATTTCTTTTCCTTTGGATTAATACCCACTAGTGAAATTGCTGGATGGTATGGTAGTAATATTTTTAGTTTTTTGAGAAACCTCCAGACTGTAGGTCATTGAACACTGCCTATGAAAAATACTAACTAAATAAAATGAAAATCTTCATACTGTTTTCCACAGTGACTGTACTAATTTACATCCCCACCAGCAGCGAATAAGAGTTCCTTTTCCTCCACATCCTTGCCAACATCTGTTACTTTTTGTACTTTTGATAACAGCCCTTCTAACTGGGGTAAGATGATATCTCTTGTTTTTGATTTGCATTTCCCTGGTGATTGTGATGTTGAGCATTTTTTCATATACTTGGCCATTTGTGTGTCTTCTTTGGAGAAATGTCTATTCATGGCCTTTGCCCATTTTTAATGGGATTATTTGTTATTTTACTTTTCAGCTGTTTGGGTTCCTTGTAGATTCTGGATATTAGTCACTTGTCGGATGAATAGTTTGTAAATATTTTCTTCCCTTCAAGAGGTTGTCTCTTCACTTTGTCAATTGTTTCCTTTTCTGTGCAGAAGCTTTTTAGTTTAATACAGTCCCTTTGGTCTGTTTTTGGTTTTGTTGCCTGTGCTTTTGAGGTCTTAGCCATAAAATCTTTGCCTAGACCCATGTCCTGAAGAATTTTCCCTGTGCTTTCTTCTAGTAGTTCTATAGTTTCAAGTCTTACATTTAAGTCTTTAATCTATCTGAAGTTAATTTTTGTATGTGGTAAGAAATTGGGGTCCAGAAACTGAATTCATTCTTCTGTATTTGGTTGTCCAGTTTTCCCAGCACTGTTTATTGAAACACAGTTTAAATTTATGTTATCTCTGTCTCTTTTATCATTTCTAAAATTGTTAAATTAGGCCTTTGTCTTTCTTTTTTGTTTTTTTAATTTTTTTTTTTACCCCGAACCATGCCTAGGAAGCCTTGAGCAAGTGGACTCCCCTTTCTTTTCTTGATAGTTTCGCCACATGTTTGTTTTTGTGGCTCTTTATTACTGTTTGGTGGTTCATTCATTTCTGCTCCTATTTTAGCTATTTCCTGCCTTCTGTTTTCTTGCATTCACTCTATTTTTCTCTAAACTTCTGAGATTATTAACTCACTATTTCTTATTTTCAATGTATCTTATTTTCAAATACCCACATTTATAGATATACATTTTAAAAAGACTCCCACAGCCACATCCTACAATTTTTATGTTTAAGGTAATTTTTATATTTGTATAAGTTTCCTGTGGCTGCTGTAACAAATTACAAGCAACTTCATGTCTTAAAACAACAGAAATTGGTCAGGAGAGGTGGCTCACGCCTGTAATCCTGGCACTCTGGGAGGCTGAGGCCAGAGGATCGCTTTTGGTCCAGAGCTGGAGACCAGCCTGAGCAACAGTGAGACCCCGTCTCTACTAAAATAGAAAAAATTAGCCAGGTATGGTGGTGCGCACCTGTTGTCCCAGCTACTTGGAAGGCTTAGACAGAAGGATTGCTTGAGCCCAGGAGTTTCAGGTTGCTGTAAGCAAGGGTGACGCCACGGCACTCTAGCCCAGGCAACAGAGTGATACTGTCTTAAAAAAACAAACAAAAAAAAAACCCAGAAATTTGGCCAGGCGTGGTATCTCACACCTATAATCCTAGCACTTTGGGAAGCTGAGGGGTGGAAGGAGGGGTGGGGATTGCTTGAGGCCCAGAGTTTGAGACCAGACCTGGGCAACATAGTGAAACCCCTATCTCTACAAAAAATTTAAAAATTAGCTAGGTTTGATGGTGTGTGCCTGTTGTCCCAGCTACTTGGGAGGCTGAGGTGGGAGAATCCCTAGAACCAAGCAGTTCCAGGCTACAATTAGCTATGATGATGCCACTTGCACTGTCTCGTGGACAACAGAGTGAGACCCTGTCTCTTAAAGAAAAAAAAAAAACAACCTCAGAAATTTATCTTCTCACCTTACAGTTCTGGAAGTCTGAATTCAGTATCACTGGGCAAATTCAAGGTGTGGGCAGGCTCATACCCCCTTGGGAGGCTCTAGGAGAGAAATCCTTTCTTGATGGGGTTTCTGGTGGGCGCCCAGCATTTTTAGCTTGTAGCTGCATCACGCCTCTCTGATCACATTGCCTTCTCCTCTTCTGTCTATAGTCAAATCTCCCTCTGCTTCCTCATGTAAAGATATATGTGACAGCATTTAGGGTGCACTCAGATAATCCAGAATTATCTCCCCCATGGCAAGATTCTTAATTTAATCACACCTGCAAAGATCCTGTCTTCACATAAGGTAAAATTTAAAGAATCAGGGCCTGATATTTTTGAGGGCCATTTTTCAGCATACTACAATGTTTTCATGGAAGTATTTTTCAATGTACATGACAATTTCTTCTAATTTAGAGGTATGTTTCACAAGGTCCAAACATAAGGGGATATTTTGTTTATCATTTTGTTATTGATGTCTAATTTTATTACATTAGATAAAATGTAATGGTCCCTCTAGTGAATTTTTCATTTTAGTGACTGTACTTTTCTTTTTATATATATAATTTATTTTATTATGCATTATTGTTCCTTTTTTCTTTTTTCCTTTTTTTTTTTTGAGACAGAGTCTCACTCTGTCACCCAGGCTGAAGTGCAGTGGCATCATAGCTCAGAGCAACCTTAAACTCCTGGGCTCAAGCGATCCTCCTGCTTCAGCCTCCTAAGTAGCTGGGACTACAGGCACGTGCCACCACATCCACATAATTTTTTCTATTTTTAGTAGAGATGGGGTCTTGCTCTTCCTCAGGCTAGTCTCTAACTCCTGACCTCAAGCGATCCTGCAGGCTTGACCTTGGCCTCCCAGAGTGCTAGGATTACAGGCGTGAGCCACCATGCCCGGCCTAATGTTCCTTCTTTCTAAATTACTTGTATTCTTTGAAATTCTGTTCTTCATTTTTTTTTTTTTTTTACTAGTTACTGTGCTTTTCAACTCCAGAATTTCTATTTAGCTCTTTTTAATAATTTCCATCTATTTATTATTTGGTTTTGTTTTTTTTTTTCGGGACAGAGTCTCACTGTGTTGCCCGGACTAGAGTGCTGCGGCGTCAGCCCAGCTCACAGCAACCTCAAATTCCTGGGCTCAAGAGATCCTTCTGCCTCAGCCTCCCGAGTAGCTGGGACTACAGGCATGCGCCACCATGCC